AAACAATTTTTCCACTTTCTGCGGTACTGTAGAATCGCCAAGAAAAAAGACATGGAAATTTTTGTTATTGTATTGTATTTTTTGTAGTTTAAAAATATGGAGCAAGAAACCGTTCTTTTTGTTTTTGGCTTTTAAAATTGCGCAGATATTCTTAGTTGTAGTGTGACGTGTCCTTAGGTAGATTTGGCCAATCTGTTATAGAAACCTGCACGAGAACATTCGATATGCTTTCCAAATTTGGATCCGATATCTTAAGCAAGAGAATGTTCACCACAGCCGTTACATAGAAGAACGGATGGACATGTTTAAATCGATTCAGAATTTGATGCTCGTCAGTAATACATACCCTTAGTAGGAACCTGAAAATTCTGTCTTCGTACTGAAAACAAAGTAAATAATTACTTATCCTCTGATAGGAAATATATAAATAAAACATATTTTTGAATGAACGAGTTTTTACAGGTAATAAACTAAAGGTTACATAAGCCCGAGCGGTCTCTGTGTTAAAATTGGTTGCTTTACATAATTTAATACATCCAATTTTAGTTTTGAAGGCTATAAACGTTCTGGAGCTTCGCGAAAGGTGTCGGCTGAAGAAGTGTAATGTTTAGTGTGTTAGACGAAAATGCAGCACAAACTCAAAAAGAACTTGATGAGCACATATTAGTGTGTCAACTAGCATTTTCAGTTCGATTGCATACAAAGGGAAAGATAGAATTCTTGAAGAACAAATGGAAGAGAGCAACGATAGCAGTTTTGACATCTATTTACGCTTATTATGGATAGCGAAGGATTGATCCTGTACGATACTGCTAAATGAAGTAAAGTGAGGCTTAATCCACGATAACCATTCACATCAATCCGAAAGCCAAATATTCATACTCAGCAAATTGGGCAGTGCGTTTGGTGGGATTTGAAAGAAATCATTTACTGCGAGCTTGTTAAGCCTAGACGAAATAACGCTAAACTAGTTGAAATAAGTGACACACTTGAGAAAAGGAGACCATTTACGGGCAAATGTATTTAGAAGATCAAATCATCATAAAAGTTGAAGATGATGTTGAAGAAATGATTTAATAATTGTGTTGTCTCGAAAACACAAAATATCTTACGTAAAAGCCTCCGTAAAGAATTCGATAAGAGGCAAAAGACCATACATAGTGATGGTGGATAACAAATATGTTTTACATAGGCTTGAATTTTTTCAAAAATACAAGTGAAATTTTTATGTAATACACCTGATATTTATATGTTTTATAAGATTTCTGATAAATATTTCTGACTAAGGGATGGGGTGCGGCAAGATTATTTTATCCGTCGTTCTTCGCTGGTGTGGATTTAAAATACTTTTAGTTTCTTTTTCTTAAATACAAAGAACGAAAAAATTGTTATACCATTGTAGGCCACTGAGTGTTTAATCGCTACCGTACTTACATAACAGTATTATAATGTAAATTTAAATACAAAACCGATAATGTTTTAAATAAAATACAAAGCGTTTGAAAGCCTTGCTTCTTGACTCCTTCACAAAAAGCATTCGTTCAAGCACCCATAGTACAGATGTGTGGAATAAATAGTTCATGTTTGTACTTCTCTGTTATCTGAACGAAGAGGAACGTTTCGTCTAGCGCTGAAGCAAGACTTCAGTTTATGTGATTGAAGTTTAATGGCATCGCGTTTGTATATAAACACACACATGCACACACACACTTTACTTACAAACCTTACGCAAATAGAAATGCTTTACTAGAGAAAAACTGAACAAGTAAGAAAATTATTTTCGGTTGTGACCGAATTTCTAATACCCACCACCGCTATCCTATCTTTATAGAATAATTTTGTGAAATCTTATATCGAGTAATTTTTGCAGTTTACATGCAACGCGAGAGGGAAAGGAGAGTTGTTGACAGTTTTTCTTACATATGTTGTTCATTTTCAAATTCTCTTGCAAATTTTTTGGCGATGTCTTTATATTTTCGAGCGCGACAATGTTTAGCAGAGATATTACACATTTGCGCAGACGGACAGGTGGACAAATAAACAGACAGACATGCTTAGGTGTATTCCGAATTTGAAATTAGCCAAGAATTTGAATGGCACACAATAAAATTTAATAGGCGTGGCCGATTTTTTCGATTTTTGTAGCGGTACTACAGCATTGCCCGCAGAATACATGAGCTTTATGAGTCATGAGCAACAAACCGATTTTTTATTCCTTTTGGAGAGCAGAGGTGTCGCCAATTTACGAAGTATTTTACGAGTGCTCATTTTCAATACTAACCTGCGTGCAAGAACTTCCAATATTTTTACCAAACTTGAAGCCGATAATTTGATTTTTACGGCCAAGAGAATGTTTACAAGAGATATTACATAGACGGACAGACGGGCATGCTTAAATCGATTTAAGATTTGATCCTGATTAATAACACATGTAATTTGTAGGGTCTCTGAATCTTGGTTCTAGGTGTTGCAAACGTTTTAACAAAATGAACATACCCCTTATCCTTCGGTGATGGGTATAAAAAACAAAATAAGGAGGATATTAAGCCCAGCTCGAAAAGAATTTTTGGTAATTGTCGCATATCTGGGTGTTCTAATAGAATTCGCAAAAGTATTCTCTATAAAGGAAAAGTGTATGGCCCCACCGTGAATGTAACAGAGGCAACACAATGCAATATAAAGTTTATGGCTACGCTACTCATACACAAATATATTGCTGCCTGCAATCTACGAAGCATTATAATATACAAAATACACAAAATTTATGTATGTACATAACATATACGAACAGTAAATGTAATAACATGATGAAAAGGCTATGGTATAAACAGCAGTTGGTGGCAGATTTATATTCAAAATTTTGTTAATGATCGTCGAAAGGTTTCTGGACTTAACCTGATAAGATCGGCAGTGAAGAGTTCAAGGTTACTTTCAATACTATGAAAATTATTGATACGACGATAGGCAGACTGGCAGATAGACAAAGCAAGAGCAACCCAAACGAATAAGCAAACTCATAAAAGTCAGAGACATAGACAAACGGCCAGATGAGTGGATAGACAGACGAAAAATAAATGTGTGGAATGATAAACAGTAAATCGATTTCGGATTGACGTTCAGTTTGATTAAGAACTTGTACATGGGTTTTTGATGAGCATTCAGAGGACTCGCCTCGGTTGACGTAATAGCGTATTTAAAATAGTATTATTGTATACAATGTACTAAGGGTTAGATCTTCATGTTTCCCACTTTTGCTAATTGTAGATAAAGCCATTCACCACACATTTTCAATGCAATGGCAATATAACACGCAGACGTCGTGTAACATAATTTTATACACATCACCGAAGAATGGGACTATATATATATATATATATATGTATATATATATATGTATGCACGTTTGGTTAAGACGTTCAGAATAAGAAGAATTAGAAGAAAGCATCAAAGGTCCAGGGACTCTTGATCTGATCAAATTCTGAATCAATTTAAGCTTGTGCGCCTGTGTAACGTCATTCTCCTGGCCGTAGAAATGAAGTTATCGCTTTTAAATTTGTCAGACATGTTGGAAGTTCTTGCATGCAGGTTGGTATTCAAAATGGGACGAGCCGGTCGAAGGACACGCTTAGAGTATTACGTAAAGTGAGGGCACCTCCATTTTTCAAAAGGAATAAATAGTTAGTCTTTTGCTCCATTTTTCCGTCCATCAGTCTGGCCAACTGTATGGAATCTGTGGTAATCAACCGCGCCCACCTACTATCATAAAGTATGAAAATTTAGTTCTTTTCTAGAATCACGGCGATGGGTAAAAGATTCGGCCGCGACCGAATATAATTTTCTGACTTGCTTTTTTTGTTAAAACGCTTGCAACACGCAAGAGAAAAAATAAAATTTTGACGCTATTGGCTTTATTTAGGCGTGATTGAATTTTTCCATACTTGCACAGATATTATAGTCTCACTCATTTTAGAACATGTGCAATGAGTCAAAAACCAAATTTGCTTATTTTTCGAAGCATAAAGGTTCTTCTTAATTTATGTTGTTCTTTTTCTTAATTTATCGGATACTTTGGCGAATTTGGCCCATTCTCACTATCAGCTTGTTTGCAGAAGCTTTCAATGTTTTACTTAAATTTCAAGTCGATTTCTTCATTTTTACGGCCAGTAGAATGCTTAACATGAACCGTCCTTCCATAATGGCTATATAAAAAGAATGGTTTCGATTCCAAGCTTTTATAGGCAACAACTTGAAATCGTAGTTATGATTGAAGTCACGATTTCAATTAACCTGCTTATATATATAATATATATGCATATAATATGCTAATAAATGCAGTATAACTTTTTTGTGTGGATATATAATAAAAGTAAATCATGTATATACAAAATTGAACTAACTTATCATGTATTCCAATGTTAAAAATGTACAGTTTGATGTAACTAGCAAACAAAAACCCAAACCAAACAACAACAAAGCATTATAGTAACGATGTGCGCTGAACAAATACGCATATAGAAGATATGTAGGCATGTAACGGTTGCATTATGATAAACTCATAATTATTTAAGAGTTTAACAATAACCAACAATTTAAGTCCCATTGATGATTATTTCCCTAGTCATTTGTCAGTAAAGACGAACAAAAAACATTGAATACATTTGAAATCATTCATTATCTTTAAAATGACTGAGTGAATAAACGAAATTATTTTAGATAAACGGGGATAAGCATTAACTAGCATATGCATGTGTGCGCGTAGTTTTTTATCAATAGCACACGTTTTCTGATAAGTCAAGTTATTGGAGACGACGCTCAAAAACCCGATACTGACAATCATCCTCGTTAGTATAAAATGAACAAAAGACTCCGCATAGTCAATAAGTGATAATAATAATTTTTCGATTATGAAATATTTCCTCTTGGTTATTCAAAAATATTCAATTCAAAAAGAAGAAGTCATTTGACGATATGCATTGTTTCGCTATTCTCACTCTTTTCAGTTCGCAATCCAATGAACGCCAATTTCTAAAGGATTTCATTAGTGGAGCTCCTGGTTCCTCTGGGGCCAGATTGGCTGCTTGGTTGCAACCAGAACCACGTCTAGATCCCAATAAGTAAGTATAAATTTGTTTATTATGAAAATTTTCGAACTCCTATGACTGTAATAATGTAGAGTTCTAGTCGCTTTGGGAAGGAATTTCAATACGACACTGGTTAAGAGGCTCTTTCGGAATGTAAAAAGTATTGTTTCAAATCTAGTGTGTCAAACTTTTTTGTATAAAGGTTTTTATAGCTTTAGATTTAGGTTTGTAAGGATATATCATCATATTTATTTATATTTCAGGTCAACTGAATTTTAAAGAAAATCAAAAATTACGCGTTATTATTTTCATTTTTTTTTTTATTTTCTCTTCGCATAACACATTAATGCGGTTTATTCCAATTTCAAACCCAATTCGTATGTCTAGTCCCGTAAATTTGTCAAAAACTTTGTAAGCCCGCACAGTTTTCCATATCTTTGTAACTTCTCTCAATTAATTTTCTTAAATTAATTCATCACCGATCAATACATTTGATCTGTACAAAAAACTTCCATGGTTTTGAAAAACACTACAAATTTCGTAATAATTGGATCATTAAGATATGCTTTGTATTTGACATATAAGTAAGTATATAAGTAATCTAGATGAATTTATGGTCTTCCATTGAAAGCAGGCATTACGCGCTATTAGATCAAAATATCTGCAACAAAATTTATTTTCCGTCATTTAGTTCAGTTATTTAAAAGAATTTTTTTAAAAAGGGTTCGTCCGCTTAACACTGTACTTGCAAAGCGCGGTTCGGATACATCACGATTAGAATAATCGAATATGTGTTTTTTTAATTGAGTTTTATACCCATCACCGAAGAATGAGGAGTATATTCATACGTTTCATTCAAACGTTTGCAACGCCCAGAAGGAAGCTTCAGAGACCCTACAAAGTGTATATATTCTTAATCAGCATCAAATTCTAAATCGATTATTTAACTTGCTTTTTCATTTGTATGCACATTTGGAATCAAATTTTATAATAAAATTTTTATCACCAAATTTAATACCTTAAGGCTTGGCTTCGACACAACGCGGTATATATCGCATTGACTTGCATTATATCAAGGTATCTTATAACACGACCTCGATCTAACACGAACAAGCTTTCGATTTAACACTACAGATTTTATTGAATTATATCGAAGTTTAAATGACATTATTCTTTATGATGTTTTAGTTAAAATAAAAACGTAAAAGTTATAATAAAATTTTAGGCTTTTCTGAAAATTATTTTGCTATTGTGCGTTCACGCTATCAGGCTTCTTCTTGTTCATTGTACTTCTTCGACTGGATCACGTCTATGATGTTTTCGGCAACATGGCTCGTTTTTCAAACAACATAGCTCAAATAGCACACCGAAATCCCTAAGATTCATATTCCTAAAATTATAGTTCAGTTGTATATTGCGATGCCTTTCATAATGCTCTCTGTCTGACTCACTAAGCTTATTGATACGATATCTTTGCTTCGGCTTTCGGGTATTTGTAAATACAACCTTTCTTGCACTTTGTTTCGTGTTGAGGTGGGTTAATACTTTCACTTTTATGATTGACTTTGGTTTAAGATTTTTGAACATATCTTGATGAGTTTTAGCGACATATTTGTTTGATCCATTGGATTGGGTTAATAAGCAAATGATAATCTCCCATGTCGCAGTGTCCCCATGTTTAAAGTATAATTTAGCATTTTGCCCTCTATGAGTCTTCCGTTTCATATTCCAGTCACAGCGATCGTTAAGAACAAAATAAGACTCTATTTCGTGACAAGGGCCCTATTTAATATGAAAATGACGGCGCTTGAATCGCTACAAGATTTTATGAAAAACGGATAATTTCGCCATTGTCAAAATTCACACCATATTACATTGTCATGGAAATTCCGTGTCCGTGCCTTATGGCAATTCCGTTGGGAAAACAGTTCGAAAGGCAGAACGACCTTTGAATTTATCCGTGATGTCTAGTACGTGGAAAAACACCCAGATTTTAGTTTTAGACTTCATCTGGGATTTCTGCTTACGGGCAACGGATCCCTTAATGCATATTTGCATAAGAGAGGTCTGTCGGGAACTGAGACTTGCCTATGTGGCATGTCCAAAGATTGGTTGCCCATTTTGTGTGTATGCTCCAAGTACTCGGATTTTAGAGACTTGAACGTAATTGGTATACGACAGACGGATGGGAACTTTGACCTTAGTGTGGCCCTCTCTACTTCTGAGACGGTGGCAGCTCTAGGAACGTATGCTGCGCGGGCATTCGCCAGACGCAGCGCGGAGAGATTTGATCTGGGCAACTCTGTCTGATCTTCGTCCGTGCTCTTCTTTTACGGTGACAATGACTGAAGAACAGGGGGTTAGGAACTGCATGGAGTTCTTAAGTCTTACCAGACGCTTTCTCTCTCTGGTTGGTGATGTAGGGAAATCCGTTTCCACGTTTCCCTACATCGTTATTGTTGTACACTCGGTCTTCGGACTCTGTCCACTATAATTTTTCCCCAAGATGTTGAGATAAGCCTCGCTCCGCCCAGTGAGAATACCATGCCCATATGCATGGTATAGACGGTTTTCCTTCAAATGACTATCTCATGCCGAGTGCGGGTCTTATGGGACCTAGAAGGTCCGACCGAAGACTCTTATAAATTATTTTCTCAATTTTCTCCTCAATTCCGGTACCACGGGCGTCAGGAGCCCCCAAAGCACTTCCTCTAGCTTTGGCCTGACAACGGGAACGGCCCATAGCGGGAGTTTCGTGGTGGCTGTGGTTGGCCCAAAAATCGCGGGAAGAGTTTCTTGCTCGGTGTGGAGTTGCATTGCAACCGGGTGCCTTACCCACAGAAAGGCAGAGGTTTTAGGTAGGCCTCGCCCTCACCAGAGGGGAGATGCGACCCTAACGTATCTCATCTGGTACTCGGGGACTTAATATTCCTCATGGCAACGTGTGCGTCGACTTCGGCACCGTATGTTGCGAGGATTATTAACCTCGGGGAGTTCAAGTGTTTCACACTCCGTGTGCCATCGGGCACCGTGGGGTTAAACCTTCACGGTAGTACCCACGTTAAACCCTCGAAGACATCTGTCATAGAAATTCAATGAGTATGGGAAATTGCTGTACGAGCGAGCACTTTTATGTATGCAAGAAAGTTGGCCATACCACGTTGTACAGTCACAATAATTAAATAATGTATGAAATATATGATTGGATAGATGGAAGTGGTCAAAATAGTGTGTAGTGAAACTCAAAAAAAGATTCCATTTGATAATATTTTCACGTTTAGTTTATTGAGTTCTATAATATATTTCTCTTTTAGCTGAACTGTGGTCAGTGTCTTATATAATATGTTGTTGTGCTAACCTAAGCAAAATAGTAAAGTTTTAAACTAGGTTACTACTAAAATTTCACAAACTTAACTTATCTTAATTAGGGTACTACATTTAATTACATTTAATATGGGCTATAACTAAAGTAGATTACCTTAACCACGTTATAGCTAGATTTACATTATGTAGAAATATAAGAAAATGTAAACATAGCATTAATGATTAATAAGTGAGTAAGAAGTAAAAAACGATAAAGCTAAGGTAATGCTACAATTGAGATGAATTTAAATGAAAGTTTGAATGGTTTTCTTTAAAAATTATTTTTTATATCATTAAAGCTCGTTAAATTTTCTCATATTTTCAAATTATACTGGCATTAGGTGTGAATTGAATACAATAACCGAACCGCTACGGTACGGTTGGCCAACACAGATCACAGTAAGCATACGTGATCAGTATGGAGATGCCATAGTGGTGCCCGAACTGAAGGTTTGTCTTGTTTGTTAATTTTCTTTTTTTCGTTGATATATACTCATTTACATATAAAAAATACAAAAAAAGGTCGAAATAAAGGCAATACCTACTGGTGCAACCGGTAATGGCAACATTAAATTACGAAGAGCTTCCCAGACAGACAATTATTTTGGTGGCATAGCACCGCCGCCACGTCTTAACTACGAACCTACTGTTAAAGAGAAAATGTGCTTTAAGGCCATTACCTTTATGAAATCATATAACAATTATTCTTTTGAGGAATTACGCTACAATAGTCCCCTTCAAACTAGAGTCACAGAGACTTTATATGCTCATGATATGGAAGATGGCACGTTCAGCATTCATTGGACTCCCAATGCTGTGGGTAGTTACTGTCTTACTATTAATATCGATGGTATTTTATTAGAGGAGGTTTATCGTGTCGAAGTTAAAGAAGGCAGTGCACCACCTCCGACACACAAGAGAGTAATGAAGAATTCTCAAACTCCCAACAGGCTAAGAAAATTTCACACGAAGAACACGGCTGGTTTGCGTATACGTTCTCATCCAACTTTACAGTCTGAACAAGTGGGTGTAGTTAAATTGAATGGTGTCATTTCATTCATAGATGAAATTGAAAATGACGATGGTGTATGGTTACGACTTTCTACTGAATCTATACGCCAACACTGCACCATTGGTTGGTATCCTACTGAAGCATGGTGCTTACAATATAATCAACATTTGGGTAAAACTTTGCTACATCCAGTAGTAGAAGCAGTGTCTCCTCCGACAGACAATTCTGTACCAGAAATTACTGGTGACAATGCCTCTCTAACTCCTAGGACTTGTATAGCAGCCTCAGAGCACAAAAAGCATTGCGAGTTATTAGAGAGTTTAGAACCAGTTGCTTTAATAACGGAATCGCCGCCGCTTATCAACGAAACATCGGTTTCTCCCAATAAGAAAGTTTTTGATTATTTAACCAGTTCTTCTTTGAAATCGATAGAGGGTCAATCAATTTCAACCAATCCATTCGTTTGTAACGATAGCGATTCAAAGCCCTCATTAGCTGGTGACAATTTTTCCATGACTTCGCAACAGCAAAATTTTGATAATGATATCGAGCAAATATCGAGGCCGGCTTTTGTTGCTGGACAAAGCGACGATACACAATATTCCACTTTAACGGGCTCTTCTAATGCTATTGGTTCGGCTATAGCGGGTGTAGTTGGAGGTGGAGCCATTAAGTTACAAGCTTTACAAAAATGGTTCAAAGGTGACAGCATGAGTGAAGCTAGTGCGATTCGAGAAAATTATCAATTCAAACGCACTGACATGGGCGAAATTGCTTCAGTTTCTGTTCGAGAATTAGTACGAGTGATGGGAGGTCAAGACACCAGAAGCAATGGAAATAATTTTAGCCAACGTTCACCTAACACCACACAAATACCGTTAGAAAAAAAGAAAGATTCGCCAAACAACAGCGTGAAATCAAATGAGAGTTCCGATATATCTGGAGTTATGAGTTCCAATGCGGTATACGAGTCAAGTCAAACGGGACGCAGTTCCAAAGAAGAGACTGTAAAAACGGAGCCGACGCATTTCGACGTAATTAATATGAGGAAAACAAATTTTACACCTAGCCAAACGGCTGCTTTGCTGTCGACCCCAAAACATTCGCCACGAAGAATAATCGGTTCCCGCAAATCGGCAATGAATGCAGTAGGTTCGGCTTCAACAGATACCGGAACTGTTAAAGATTCAGATTTATCGAATTTAGAAGAAGAAATGAGCTTATTGCAAATTACGACCACTGCACCAGGCGGAGATAACACTACTCAAGATCAGATATTACTTGGAGAGTTGAGGACAACCTGTTCCGCGGGCAGCGCTGAATATTCCAGTTCTCATGTTTGGCCGGAACGGATTGGTTCCGCTAGATGTAATGCCACACAAAATGCTTTCTTCAAAACTGCCTCTGGCATTAAAAAAAGCACCATTGGCCCCATTAAACGAGCTATGCCGCCTTCTTTTGCCGAAAGTATTAGAGCTGTGTTTGCAGCATTTCTGTGGCACGAAGGTGTTGTACACGATGCAATGGCTTGTGCGAGTTTTCTCAAATTTCATCCAAATTTGCCAAAAGAGGGCACTATCGTTGTTACTAGACGCGATCATAGCGACAGCAAGCAACAATTATCTCGCGAACAGAAAGTTCAGCAGCGTCATTCCGTGGAAGTGGCCAACGCTGGCAATTATCTAAACATACGGCCTTCAACCCTAGAAACTTTAACGAAAAGTGGTAACTTTTCTGTCAGCAATCGCAGATACCGTAAAACCCAATCTAATGATATCTCTGACACTGAAGGCGGTAGTGAAAAACCGAAACTACATTCTTTGCCGGAAGTCGTGACCGTGCTACCACCAGCTTTGCGTAGTCTTGTATACTTGTGGGAACATATATGCGCCAATTGTATTCAAATAGTTCAGTCAAATTCCTTGGGTCATGAGAAGGTATCTTCCCGCGAGCTAAATGTAGAACCGAAAGAAAAATCTTTCACAAAAGAGAAAGAAAATAAAAAGGTAAAAAAGAAAAAAGACGATGGTTCATGGTGTGAAATATGCCAAGTTTTCCTCCCCATACCGGTTACCTATCATATGAGAATTGTGCACCCCGGCTGTGGTAAATCAGCCAAAGGTAAGGGTTACAATTCCGTTGGCATCTTTTGTGAAGGATGGGCCGGAAATTGCGGTGAAGGTGGGAAAGGTGCCTCCAGTTGGTTTTTAATGTGTGATGCTTGTCGTGACAAATACATATCAACCAATAAAAACACTAACAATTTAAACAATACAAACGCTAGCTGTGCAGGTGAGTTTTGGCGAGAAACATACACTAAATATATGTGTTTTTTCATTTTTTTGTACACTACACCACTTGAGATACAAGGGTGCATTAAGTTCACGTGAATGTATCCAACGCGCAGAAGCTCTTGAGCGCTATTTTTCATTATACTGATCGGCTCAGTGTCACTTTCTTGATCGATTTAAGCTTGGCTTGGTACGTCCCTTCGTCAGTGCGCCTTGTGTAAAATGGTTCGGATCGGATCACATTTTCCACCATTTGCAACATAAGGCCTTGTTAATACGCCCTTATTTATACGGCTTTTATACGAATAACCGCACTAAGCGAAGTGGCATAAAGTATTATCCTACTATAGCATTTTTACTTGTTTTTAATTTAGGCAATGACCTAAATTTGTTTGGGATTAAAACTACCACACTGATCGCCAATTCGGAAATCTACACAACCATGCGCCAAAATGCTACATTTTTATTAGAACTGTCGTCAAATGTTACAAATTTGCCAACTGATCGCACACTCCCGCTTGGTGGAACGACTACTAAACGTTCGCCTCAACAAATGCCAGTAGTAGTTGAACATCAACACTTTAGCATTGCTGATATGAACAGACCAAGTACCAGCAGAGGAGAATCAGTACGGCACAATCGGGTTGGTTTAAAGATTAATGGAAAATCCTCAGGTACTTACCGATTACTACTTGGCAAAGTTATGCAGTTATGTGAACAATTTTTTAGGTAACTCACTGTTCCGAAAAAGCTTCACAGGTGGCCCATTTTCACCAGAGCAACCATGGTTAGCACCTGAAACGTTCGCTTGCTTGGAAACTTTTGGAGCAGGTAACAAAGAAGACCTACCTTATGAGATATTCGGCTTGGGAGCGAATGAAACTGGCCTTGATAGGGTAGCAATTTTATGCAATTTGATGGGTTACGAAATATCGTTATAACGTTTGCACATCTTTTCCATGTAATAGCCTCTCTCTGAAATTTCTTACGAATCATCTGATCCAACTAATTATGAAGCATCTGGTCAATCAGGTTGTATGAATGCAAGCGCTACTTCATCTAGATTTCACCGTAGTTTCTCTATGGGACAAGGTTGGGGTGTGGTACAACAACAAGCCAATAATTCTAATTTGAAACAAGATGAGCCATATTATCCTAAAGTAATATTCCGAAGACGTAACAATTCAATCAGCGATACGGACGGCTCTCTATTGATCTGTTATCCTTCCGAAAACTTGAGGCGTTTAGTGCCAGAGCACGTGCTTCTGGCTACATCGGTGGTACAGCGAGGATTTGCGACGGATCGGGATTGCAATATCCAGCAAACTCAATTCGATAACGAAAAGACCGTTAAAAATCCAAAGCAAGAGCAAAATCAGTACAACAATTTAGATTTAAAAACTGTTAACCATATCCAAATATTATTACAGCGTCCAGCTATGGCTTTTATTACACAAAAGCACGATTTAAAAAAGTTGCGAAGTGCTATGAAACGGAGTCTACGTGTAGCTACTTGTCGTAATTACTCGTTGCAAGCTCTAAATTGGCTTTTGCGTTCTGTTACACAAAGTGTTTGTCTACATGACCTTATGTGGTGGTTTGTAAGTTCTTTGAGTACAGCTACGACCTCATTAGCAGATCCGACTGAGGGAAAATTTGACGATTCCGAACCGGCTCTTGAACACCCTGTTTCGTATACTCAAATTAGCGGTCGTTTGTCTCACATGATTACTAAAAGTTTACATAAGTTTTTACAATCGGTAGCCGATCTGACATTATACCTGCCATTGGGATCATCGGTACAACGTATTGCTATTCAATGCTTTGGTATACGATTTAGACAGACAGATCATCAATTTTTACATAGTTCTCATGTATTTGGTAACATTTCCAAAATATTATCGAAATCCGATGAACAAAATGAAAGTCCAAACATTTTTGGTGTAAACGATAATCTCGTTAATGGAGCTAACGGTGATGAACACAATGCCGTGGGTGGAGGTGTTCATGCAGCCAATGCAATGGTAGATGCTGGAGGAAAAGTCATCTATTACACCGATTTAAATGGTCAGTTTGAATTAACGGTATCTTCACGTCAAGCCATGGCTGAATCATTGATCGATAACTCAACAGAAACGTTTTGGGAAAGCGATGAAGAAGACCGCAATAAAAGTAAAATAATAGAAGTTTCTATGAACAAGTTAAGCTATTGTTGTAAAATAGTTTTAGTTCACATTGACAATAGTCGGGACATTCAGGCAAGTTTTATTACTACCAATGTTTATAATCAAATTTTTGAAATTTTTCCATTAACATTTTAAAAACATCAGAACAAAGTGTCTAATGTTGTCTTTTACGGGGGCCAATCTTTGGGCGATACCAGTCTTATTAGATCGGTAGAGGTCGATTCGAAGTTATGCGCCTGGATATCGACAAAAATTTATAACGATAACTATACACACTTCCGTTTAGAATTTAGTGGTCCCGAGAGTAGCCTACGTGTACGCCAAATTAAGCTTTTGGGCTTGCCTGCTGTAATGTGTGGATCGGGTGAACATTTTACCAACCCATACGAATCACCCTTTCACAATTCTCCTGTTCAAGCTTTTAAGTTTAATCTAAAGCTAACTCATGCTCTCCGCATACAACAACAAATTTGTGAAAGTGAAACTTTGCGAGTTTTTCGCCTAATAACCGGTCAAGTTTTTGGGAAATTAATAAGCACTGATGCTGCCAGAGAAGAAGGTATTGTGATGGGTAAGAGTTCTTCTCAGAACATCTTGGATATGGATTCAAGTGGAAATTCAATGTTGGCGGATTCTTTGGACTTAAGAGAACATATGGTAGGCATATTGTTTTCGCGCAGCAAATTATCACATTTGCAAAAGCAAGTTATTGTGCACATTGTGCACGCCATTAAGAAAGAGGCTCGCCGAGCGCGTGAGGATTGGGACGTTGTCAACTTGGCAACTAACTTTAAAGAAGCTAACGTGAATGGTTCTGCCAATGGTCAAGATAATAAAAGTGAAACAAGCTCAGAGAGAAATCGTATCGCAGATACTTATTGCTTTGAAATGCTAAGCATGGTATTAGCGTTATCAGGAAGTGTAGTGGGACGTTCATACCTTTCTCAGCAACATGGACTCATTAAAGATCTTCTTAGTCTTTTGCATACCGGCAGTGATCGAGTACAGCGTCAAGTGACCGCCCTATTACGTCGTATCCTACCGGAAATATCACCGGTTACTTTTGCCGATATTTTGGGAGTTCAACGTCTTCCTCCTGCTGATTATGACATAGCTCATCAGATAGCAATTGACTTCGATATGGATAGTTTGGGTTTGTTGGATATATTTCTAGCTGTTATCGCTAAATCGTTGCAATTGCAAATCAAAGTGAAAAGCTCGGGACCTAAAACGGGCTTAGAAAAGACTCCCTCATTCGTGCGACTTTACAGTGCTTTGGACCTTTCTGTACATTTATTGAAGCCGTCGCGTTTAGAGTTTAGAGTGGATTACGAAAATGTCACAATTGAGGACACCTTTACCAGGAATGAATATTTTGATTATGATCGTTATGTAGACAATGGAAAGCAAACGCGGCCTGTATCACGAGAAATACGTAAAGAATCACAGAAAAATCTTAATCAGCGCTGGTTTCTTAATGGAATAATACCCACAAAACAGGCAGAAAGTATTATAGCTCTTATAAGGGATTTAGCCACGGTCAGTTGAAAAGTAGCCTTAGTCAAGAATCGTGAAAAATAGTGACAATTGTATTCTTTTCTCTTAAATTTGGGAAGCAGGGCAAATTAGGTGAAAAGTGGTGCCAAACGACAAAGGCAGCAATAGCGGAAGCTGTCTTAAATCTAACTCGTTTAGATGAAGTGTTTCGTTCGCCTGAGAATTGCGTCAAAACTGCAACGTTATGGTTGGCTCTGGCTAGCCTTTGTGTCCTGGATAATGATCATGTTGTAAAGTTATCATCCGGTCAGTGGACGATTTCCGACACAAGGCCTATGTGCAGTAATCACGATGACGGCGAGACACCAGCCATAATACAATGCGAAAGTTGTGGTTCTCTATGCGGCGACTGCGATCGATTTTTGCATTTAAACCGCAAAACTCGTATGCACAAACGCACGGTAAATATTTAGACATTTAAGAAATATGGAAACATTTTGATGCTAACGTTAAGCACTTTTCTTAGGTATGTAAAGAAGAGGAAGAAGCCATTCGTGTAGAATTACATGAATCTTGCGGTCGTACTAAACTATTCTGGCTGTTGGCTTTAGCTGACTCTAAAACTCTTAAAGCGATGGTAGAATTTCGTGATGGCAGTCATACTATTATATCAGGAAGTCAAGATTCGGTGGGTCGTTGCCGTTTTTGCGGCATCACTGGCAATTCGGGACTTTTGGAAATCGGCAATGTTTGTGCCGATCCCCAATGTCAGGAATATGCAGCCGGTTCATGTATGAAAACTAAACCGTGTGGTCATGCCTGCGGTGGAGTTGTAAATGAGAAAAAATGTTTACCTTGTCTGCAGCATGTATGTCATGCCCGTGAAAATGATACAGCAGAAGGGCTAAACGAACCTAAACTTACTCAAGATGCGGATGATATGTGTATGATTTGCTTTGTTGAAGCCTTAGCGTGCGCGCCATCGATACAGGTGAGTCGCAGATTAAATAAGAAGGAATCTACAACTACTATATAACCAAAACTTATTTTTAGTTGGAATGCGGTCATGTTTTTCATTATCATTGCTGTAAAGCTGTGCTGGAGAAACGTTGGGCAGGCCCACGCATAACCTTCGGGTTTTCTCTGTGTCCGATATGCAAAGCCGATATTAAACATGCTATGCTAGCGGATATTTTGGAACCAATTAACTCACTGAAACTGGACGTTAAACGTAAAGCTTTGATACGTATAAAGTATGAGGGCTTGGTACGCGATACCGAAAGTCGTGATCTAACAGCCTTAGCTATGGACCGCTATGCTTATTACGTATGCTTTAAATGCCAGAAAGCTTATTATGGCGGTGAGGCTCGCTGCGATGTCGAAATAGGTGAAAAATTCAATCCCGAAGAATTGGTTTGTGGTGGTTGTTCCGACGTAGCGCGCGCTCAAATGTGTCCCAAACACGGGACGGACTTCCTAGAATATAAATGTCGCTACTGTTGCTCGGTAGCAGTATTCTTTTGTTTTGGTACCACACATTTTTGTGATACTTGCCACGACGATTTCCAACGTTTAACGAATATACCGAAAAGTAAATTACCACAATGTCCAGCTGGCCCTAAGGCAAAACAACTAATAGGCGATGAGTGTCCCCTACACGTTATACATCCACCAACAGGTGAGGAATTTGCTCTGGGGTGCGGTGTGTGCCGTAATGCTCAGACATTTTAGCAGCAACATGAACACAGTATGTATTTGAATGACGATGGGGGCGGTCGCAGTAGTAATATTGTTGGTCAAGCCGACTGTAATGGTGACTTTGCCGTCTTACATTTAGAAGAAAAGTTGGATAATCGTCATTGCTACGAATTAGAAGCCAGTGATGATGAAGACGATTATGACGATTAAATATTAAATACATATTTTCTATATATATTTTCTAACGCTACGTTTCTGCACTCACTTAGTTCTTAGTAATCGTAGCGTCTGTAGTAATCTGCATTTCACAATCATTATTCTTCACAATATTAAAAAAATTTAATTAAGAAATAAATGGTATCGAAAATCTTACTTACGCTTTAGATTTTTCAATAAGAGAGAGAGGGATACAATTTTCAAATGCTTTTCGTGAAGTTATGATGCAAAATGCAAAATGTTGACTTTCAGGCCATATCTTTGTAAAAATTATTTAATAGCTCAATTCCCTGTGCACCTTCCATTTTGTCTGTTCGCCTTTATCATCTAGCACGCAAATTAACTTTACCCCACAGAAAGCTTGTGAAATATGATTGCTCAAACCGTCATAGCTCATGATACAAGCAACATTAGAAGCCTGTTAATTGGATTATCGAATGATTATCGAAATATCGTCTATATTTCTGTATTAATTCTCATATAACTTTTTTTCCATAAAATCAGATAAATATCCATTTTCGTCCTGGTTTAACAAACAATTTAAAATAAGAAAAATAAATGGTTCAAAAGTTCAAGAAAAGTTAGTCCTTAAGGTTACTCGAACTCTATTGGTAGGCATAGATATAAAAATCTGAACTATTAAAAGTACGCAAATTATTTGGATAAAATGAAATCTTCATTTTTTACAAAAGGAAAATTATCTCATCTCCCCCATTGATACTTTCGATCACGAATTTTGCAAAATATTTCTATGCAATGTTAGTGTCGATACTTTTGGGTCGATTAAAAACTAACTTCATATTTTGAATTGTGCCTTTACGATTTCTAAGTTGGTCATTTCACTTGATGATCTATTCTAAGGTTTAAAATGAATTAAGTACAGCTACCATTTGGGTCGTGATGTCATACCGTAATGTAATTTCAAACCGTGCCCTGATAAACTTTATTTTCTCTTTCTCTTCTATTTTTTCGTTACCAACCAATCAAAAAGATAATAAGTAACTGTCACAGCAAATTGAGCGAAGAAGATGAGATTACTGTCACTACTACTACTAATATGAGCAATGTAACAATATAATTCTTATATTTAAATAAATAAAAAGAAATTCTATAAACTTTGAAAGTTCATTAAAATAAGATACAGTATATCATGCCTTTCAAATCTTCAGCTTGAAAAAGTAGTGACTACGGGTGTACGTGCTTACTCAGTCTGGGAAGAGGATTTGCATATATGTGTTGAATTACATTTTTGGCGAATGCACAATCCATCATAATGAATGGTTTTGTGACTAACGAGTAATAAGAAGAAGACTCTTCGATTGGTATTTTTGAAGTATTGCAATATTAGAGTTACTGGCTGTTCCCCACAATTGAATGATAACTGATTAGGTTCAAATAGATTCGAGGATATTCGTGCGTAAAAAGCATTTATTGTTCACTGTAAATTCAAGTTCTGGACGAATTAATCAATTTGATTTGATTTGCAAGTCGAAGTTGCTGACGTTCAATGTCAGTCTTTGGCCAATATGGTAGCAAAAATGTTTTGTGCGAACGTAATATGCGTAGATTTTTCAGCATTTATTATAATGTTTCATACGTTCCGTCAAAGCGAAATTTTGCATCCAACTGTCTGAAAAAATTATTATAGTCATCACATTTTAATGAAAGCCGGGGGGAAAATAAACTGCACAAATTGAAATATCAGAACCATTGCAATTCACTTTAATTCGAGAAGCTTCTAAAAATGACTTTCTGAAGATATTCAAAATTTTGTATCTAATACTACATTAGCGATTGCATTAAAATCGTGGAATCGATATTAGCTCGATCGCCAGAATAATTGATAGTCATTGAACTATATCTGTTGATTTTGAAATGAGAAGCATTTTTGAAATGAAGCTTGAATATAAAAAGAGTGTCAATAAAATTTCGATTAAGGAAAATTTTTACTTCGCGTATGTCTCTGGTCTTTAAAGGAGGGTCAATTTTACCGGCAGCATAATTTAAGTATTTCACGTCGCAAATCTTTTTATTATCCGCACTAGGCTCCAGGTCTATGAATCTTCAATTAGTGTACGATATATGTTAGACATATTGCGAACTTTGAGCGCCAGCTTTTCAACATCGACTTAAATACGACCAATGGGAGTAGAATGCTGGAGGTTTTATATATTAGTTAATTTTTACCAAATGTGTTTTCGAAATAAAATTAATTGAATATTTTTTATTTTACATGTTTCATTATCATATATATATATATATTTTTTTTTTCTTTGCAAATAATAATATACATAACATACATTTAGAAAAAAAGGAGAAAAAATACAATTTTATTAAGAAATAATTTAAAATAATAATAAGTTTAAGTTGAACTTCGTTCTCCTCATTGTTCCGGTGAAGTAATAATATTTTATGCTGGAGTTTCGGGAGCATGTTCCTACAAAAACAAAACACAGATGGCGCACAAATGACGATCATTTTTATTAGCAACAACGTGAAAAAAACCATGCAGGAATTATACATCATTTATGATCTAAGTGTTTCCAGGCATCATGCAAAAAAGTACAGAGTCTTCTTATAGAGGCACCTCATCGTATGACATTCATTCGGGTTTCTATTATGGTTTCAAATTATTGAAAATGCATTAATTCACGTCGTTCCCAACGCACCCAAAAATTACGATAGTGCCATTATTGGATCTGACATTGATTTTGAAGACCCGAATTTATTGAATACGTATTATTCTTAAAAGCAGGCAGACATCTCTACGCCCACTTTATCACAAATTATATGCAATACTTTAATCTGCATGCGTATTAGATTAGACATATTGAATCAAGCAATAGGACATATTGAAACGAGCCAGACGGCGAAGTTTCATTCTATGGAGTTGGGGCGTATTGCGTCTTTGCACCAACACATGTTGAACAACTTAACAAGTTGATCTCTCGTAAGAATGAAATTTCTTTCTGATCTTTCTTTCTTTGTGATGCGTGTTTGCCATAAACTAAAACACTTGTATACTTCTGACAGAACAAGATAATGCAAATTGATACCTAGGTAGCAAAAGAATCGTGAAACTGGATACGAATTTGAGTGAGGGGCGTCTTTAATGAAGACCCTCAGCTGGATATAAATTTCATAT